TACTTGGCTTAACTACAGCAAAATCTTACACGTGAAATGTCAGTCCTTTTAACTTGGAATTTGGCAGACAGCGAGAAGCACATCCAATGGCGGAGCAGCATTTCACCATGATTTTAGCAACTCATAACAGAACTGAAAGAAAATTAAAATGTTAAGAGTTAGTAATTTCAAAGCTGAAGGAGAACATACTTACCTTTTCCAGTATGTTTTAGCAAACATGAAATCGGGTTAGAAAGCCAAAGGCAAATATTTTCTTCCAACACCTGCAGCTTTGCTCATAAAATTTTCCAAGGTTTTGGCTCTTGAATAAGGTGAGGCATATTTAGCTATGCAACCCAAGGCGTCTGATTTCAGTTTTGCAGGATTGCACATTTCCCTTCCACCTTTCCATAGGGACCACGGTGTCTCTGCTGCAGAGAGACCTTTTCACACCTACCTACTCTGGCACACTAAGTCTTCCCCATCTTTCAGCTCTCAACGGAAATGGAGCTTCCCTAGGGAAACCTACCCTAACACCCAGGTTAACTCAGATCCTCTCCGATATTAGCCCTCATAGGACGCGCGCTTCTCCAAGTTGTAATCTTACATTTATTGCAGTGACTGCGCTGATTCACGTCTTTCTCCTCCACCAGTCTGAGCTCCGTGAGGGCATGGTGAGGCGTGTTTTTCCTCACTTTCTGTCCTCACGGCTTAGCGGGTGACTGGCACGCAGTGAATGTTAACACATACTTTGAATGAACGAAGAGCAAATACAGGGGCAAGGGACGTAAGCAAGAAGCAGGTCAGAGGGCAACCGCGCGCTGGGACCGGCCCGGAGTCCCGAGGCCGGGCCGAGCTCCGCCCCTGTCCCGAGGCTCCCGCCGCCCGAGGGAGAGAGGGAGGGGCCGCCCTGTCACAGGTGCCGAGGCGCCCGGTGCGCGTCTCTTCCTCCGGGGCCAACCAGCGTCTCCGCGCCGCTGCACTCCTCGCTCCAAACCACGCCCCGGGATGTGGGCGGGTAGCGATGAGGGGAAAAGAAGAGGCAACCTAAGAGTTATTACCGTTAGCAGTGAAGACGGCGACTAACGTCGAGCACGGAGATTGCGCCTTCCTTCGCTTCCGCCCCGTAGCCCCGGCACCGGAAATCCGGCTGCCCCGGGTCACGTGCTCAGCCGCCATATTGGCTCTGGTGGCAACTGCGGCTGGGAGAGGGTGTTCTAGATCGGTGCGGCCTCTCTGGGCGTGGTTTTCATCCTGGGGGAAGGGTCTGTGGAGTGTGAGGGGAGGTGGAGGAGATGGCGGCGACGGCGCGGGAAGATGGCGTCCGCGGCCAAGAGCGAGGGCAGCGGGGCTGCGAGCACTATGACAGAGGATGTCTCCTGAAGGTGACGATTTCAGTGGGCTCTTCCCCGACAGACTTACGTTGGGCAGGGCTGGGGGCGGGGTGGGCAGGCGGCTCGGCTTGGGTTTAAGTTTGAGGCTATGCTGTTTGTCAGGATACCTTCTCCACCTGGAACTGGGTTCCTCTTGTAGAGAACGTTTTTGGCGAGGCGGCCGTAGGCCCCACCTTTTCTTCCTGCTTTATACTTTGCAAGCAAAGCTGTTCTTGCTTGGGAACAGCTTGGGCTTGCACAACGGTCTCTTTACCAATGGGTTTATCCGACTTTTGCTGCTGAAAATAGACTGAGGCAGCTCCGGACCTCTGCTGGGCTTTTCCCCGGGACCACCTTCAGGTGTGTGATGAAATAATAGAAGGAGGATAAGCAAGGGGAGAACCGGAATACGATTCAGCTCCTGTAGTAAATACGTTTTGCAGCCTACCAGCTTCGTTTTAGAGTCCATGCGTATGTCCAAATCCAAGAAAAAAATGTATGTGTGAAATAGGAAGACAATCATGTTGTAATTGCCATTAAATAGGAAATCATGAACAGGAAAGTGCCTCGTATGCATGTGTTGTCACTTTTGCTCTTTGCTTTGAGAAAACTTCCTAGTCAAGCTAGAATCTTTAAAATTGGCACCCATCCAATCGAAGTTTCCTGACTTTTCTTGCAAGAAACAGTACAACGACTTTGCTTAGAAAAATTGAGCTTTGGATTCTGACAGCCCTATCTCCAAATCTTAGGTCTGCCCCTTAATAACACTGATTTTGAGCAAGGTTCTAAGTGTCCTGTATGTAAAAGAGGAATGATAGAAGTTCCAGCTTCATAAAAAAGTATGAGGATTGTATACAAAAGTGCATGTATAGTGTTTAGCAGGGCACATTTCTAGGAGTTAATGAGTAGGAAATGTAGACTACCATTACCACAACCACCATCATCATCTTCATTTTTTTTTCTTTTTTTTTTGTTATCTCACTTCACCAGTCAGCCCTGTTGGTCACTGACTAGATTCATTAGAAGCGGGTGGTAGTCTCAGGCTTGTAAAAACAACCTAAAGTCTTTTCTGTAGGCTGTGGTTTGGTGAACATTGCTCCACTGCACTGGATAAAGCTCTTTCAAAGTTGATCATTCACTAATGTTGTGTAATAAATTGAATGCTGTTGTTATGATTCCATTTCTACTGAGGTGTTCTATTTACTCTTTCAAGCTTGAGGTCTAAAACGGAATTTAACATTCAATCCTCAAAGAAACCACACAACTAGATCTATGGGTCATAGCACTGAGATAGTTGGCCCTGAATTGCCAAACACTTTTTTGCCTTCCCCACTCCCTCTTTCTTAAATACTAGAGGCCAAGTGAAGAATTTCAAGGAGGAAGTGATCAATTAGGTCAAATGAGTAAGACAAGAACTGAGAATGGACCTTTGAATTTGACAAGGAGAAGATCACCGGTGATCTTGACAAGAGGAGTTCCAGGAGATTGGGATGAAGCCTAATTGGAATGGATTCAAGAGAGTATGGGAGGAGTGGAAGTGGAAATGCACTTATACATAATTCTTGGAATTTTCCTGTAAAGGAGAGCAAAAAAATGAGGCATGGTTGCTGGGAGATGTGGAATCCTGAGAGTTTTTCCCCTTCTAAGATAGGAGGTATTGCAGCATGTTTGTAGATTCTTGGAAATTATCCAATAGAGAGAGAACACTTTATAATGCAGGAGGGA